GCGGTACTTTGATGTCATACACCGATCATTCTGCGCAGCGCCGATGCATCTCGAACAAGCCTATTGAAACGCCACTGGTAATGCATTCTGGGAAATTATGCATTTGTTATATATAAATAAATAACATACATATATTTGTATAATATGTCTGTGTGTACATAGTGTTGTTATAAGTTTGTTTAGGCTACTTTGCATTCTTCCACCTTTTTTGTTTTTTGTTTTGCTGAGATGATATATCCCACTTATAAGATGCTGTTGTTATGTGAGATAACCATCAATTTGAAAAGCATTCATTGATAACTGGAGCTACTGAAGCAATGTGGCAGTCAATCCACATGCATTTATTTTAAATGAGTTCCTCAAGGTGACTTTTGTGAGGAATCTTAGTCAGGCGTGTTATTGGTTCAGCAATCTTGGCAATGTCACTATTGTGCCTCTTTGCTTTGAGCTCTCTTTATGAATGTTTCTGAAAATGTCACTGTGCATATGTGTACTTCATTTGTTCTCTGATAACTCCATAAACATATTTCGACTAGAAGATTCCAAACGCTTGTGCTCTAATGTTACTAAATGTAGTTATGTAAATCATGTAGCTCTTAAAACGTTTGTATAATCATGAGTCTTGAGGCGATGTGGGGGTTTATTAATTGATTACAGTTCTGTGGTCACTGGTAATTAACCAGAAAGTAAATGTCATTAAAATGTAAATTCATTACTTAGGTTTTATTTAATCCTCATAGGCTTTATTTATCTTTGGAGCTTTTGATTGAAGATTAAGGCTCCTATAATACTATAATAAACGTGTCAGTTTTAATGGCAGCTTTGTTTGCTATTCTACGAGTCTACTGTACCACCCTCACTACTTTGGATCTTTGGATAATTTTTCACATCTGTTACAAGACTTTCAAGGTCATGTAAGTCAATTGAAAATGAACTCCACCAACCTAAACTTGATACAAAATCAGGATAAAAAGTAGAGGAGATAGAGCACCTAATGAAAATTGCTTATGACCTTTCTAAGTGCATCTGTGGTTGAAGACAGGGCCATATGAGCTGCCCTCAATGAGACCACAATGACCCATTAGCTTCCAAAATTAAAGAGGGGAGATTAAGATGTCTCACGTTGTTTTACTTCTTAAGTAGGCCTTTTTTCTGAGATTCATTGTTCTCCCCTTCTGACAATTTTTTAGTCTATTGAAGGACTAATTTTTTATTTACCAGAAATAATGCATCATCTCTTCTCTTGCACTACTGTACACTGAAAAAATTATTTTCTTAATCAGTATTATTGTCTTGTTTTCAATTTAAATGGCTGACATTAATCTAGTGATAAAATTGTACATCCTTATGGAAATATGATAATATTTTGTAATTATCAATTAAATCTGATTAATTTTCAAATTGTGTGTCGTAAATTAACATCTCAGGGAAATGTTATGGGGTTTCAAACCAAAATATGACTTCCTGTTATGAAACAGGATATTGATTTCATACATGTCCACTGTAGAGGACGCCAGGACTAAAAGCATGTTAATTATGCATTTTGGGAGATACAAGAAATGAATAGGAAATAAATTACATATATCAATATTGCATATTAGATATTATTATGAAAATCTGGCCAATTATTACTCCCATTATTACACTTCTTTTTTCAAAATGCTGTCCAAACAGCACATTAATATGCAAATGAGGTAGATACAAGAAATGAATAGGAAATAAATTACATATATCAATATTGCATAATATTAGATATTATGAAAATCTGGCCAATTATTACTCCCATTATTACACTTCTTTTTTCAAAATGCTGTCCAAACAGCACATTAATATGCAAATGAGGTACAGTGTATAGATAGCATTGTGTTTAGCATATACCAGTTTATGGAAATTTTACACACATATTGCATAAAGTAAAAAGGTCTATAAAAACATTTTGTTGAGAATCATCCTTATACAAAGTTTGGTATAAAAAAAATCCTGAAACCTAAAAATTGATTGGTGATTTGTAAAACAAATCCCATTGTTTTTGCCTTTTTATGTCTATTCATGTAATTTTATTTTTTTTTAGAAAAACCGAGTCCTGGTGTCCTCTACAGAGGACGTAGCATAACATATGAATAAAATATAATTTTTAAAAAGTGTTATTTTTCCATTTTTTGCTTATGCTCTAAACAATGTAATGACATGAAAAAATACTAAATTCACAAAGCTTTTTTTTCTGGTTCTCAGGAGGATATATATCTTAAAAGCAATGTTTTATAATGTAAAAAAAAAGTCAAATATGAATAAAATAAATTATCAAATAAAACGATAAATAAAACAAAAACTGTTGAAGTAGTTTTTACAAAAACATTCTATTTCAGTCTTTCTACTTCAGAATTTCATGTTTAATTATTTAATGTTACTTCATGCTGTTTCTTTTAATTAATTGCGAAATTCACCAGCAAATTTTGAGTGGAAATTATTTCTACACCTTTTTCCAGTGTACTTGAGAGGCCAAAAAAATATTAAAAGAGAATGAAATTATTATTATTATTATTATTATTATCATAATTTATTCCATCTGCAGTAGGGCTGCACAGTAAAGCCGGTTCTGTAATCAGCGGTAAATCTGCATCACTGTTACGGGGCTGACGAGACGTGAGATTTGGCTATGGCAAGGGCTCCGTAAGGTAGCTATCTCTAGGAGAGTGATAAACGCTGAAACAATACTCGGCAGCGGGAAGGGATCAGAGTGAGTGTTAAATAGTGAGGGAGTGATATGAAACAGCTGGGTGCAATCAGTGTAAACAGGTGTGTGCAATTCGTGCTGAGTGCAATCAGTGCAATGCATGATGGGAAATGTAGTCCGGGGTGCTATGCAACAGTTTGTGTAGTGCGAGAGTCAATGAAATGGAAAGTTCATGGACCGGATTCGTGACAATCACGTGCATGCTTTCACATGGAGCAGCATTTACTACACAGAGCCGTTGTTCACCGACAAGCTGCGCTAAACCACGATCATATATGAACATCATGCAGCCCTAATTATCATCATATTTTGTTGAAAGATTTGCTTAAATGACAGTAACGTGAGAAAATAGATGTAAGGTATATTCTATTCTATAAAGTCTTATGCAATTTTACTCACATAATTTTGTCTCATTTTATTTTTTTCCCTGAAAACAGACAACAAATATGATCAATAACAATGTTTATATTTATCCTCATTCAAACCACAGAACTAAACTTTAGCCATCTTTATAACCTTCTTATATTATTATTTTTATTATATTATAATATATATGTTTTTATAATATAATGTAATCTATTCTCTATATATACCAGCGGTGGCGAACTCCGGTCCTGGAGAGCCGCAGCCCTGCAGAGTTCAGCTCCAACCCTAATTAAAACTCACCTGCCTGTAGCTTTCTAGTAACCCTTCAGACCTTGATTAGCTTGTTCAGGTGTGTTTGATTAGGGTTGAAGCAAAACTCTGCAGGGCTGCGGCTCTCCAGGACCGACGTTTGCCACCCCTGATATATACTATCCTAGTACTTAAATTAAATTCTGTACAGAAGCATTACTTTAGTTGTCCCCTTTGGATCAATTGCAAATGCTTGCATTCTTATCCGTGAGTTTATGAATGTATCTCCTAAATGAATAAACATGAATGAAAATATTTTTAAATTAATTTTACCAAGTATAGTATGTGTGAGTCTTTGTGAATCAAACACTGAATAACTATATTATCAAAAGAAACCAAGAAGATTTGATGTGAGAGATTAATGACAGAGATGTGATACAGTTTTGTTTGATTTTTATTATTTTGTAGAATCGCACGTGGCACACAGAGTTAGGGTTGACAGTTCCTCGTCCTCTTTCTCAAAACTCTTCGTTGAAGTGTAAAACAATAACCCATCCTTTAATATTTCTTATGAAACACATCATTTAGAATTTTCTAGCTGATCTTGTGATAATATGTCAGAATATAGATTGCTTGAAATAAAATATTGCCACAAAAAATGATCCATGATATTCTTTCATCTCTTTGGGAAACCATTTAAAGCAGGTTTTTTTCTGTAGAAGGGGGAAACCGTGACCATAAAAGCCAGCTCAGATTTCTAATAAGACCTATTAGTACACATGGCTCATCAGATCAAACCGCTGTGGGTTAGTCTGTGGTTTCTGAGATGCTGTTGATATTACAGTAAACACTTTGTTATGGAATCGTGCTGCTAATGTTGAATGAAGGCTACAAGTTAATATACCTTCCGCTTCCTCCTCTTCCGGTGCTAGCAAATTAGTCATAAAACTCAAGGTTGACGTTATCCAATGGGCAGAGTCGTCCATGGCTTCACTCACCGCCTTCATGGGATCAGGGCTGATGTGCTGAATACCTCCTAAGAGCATGTTTTAGACAGGGCATCTTAAGACACATGTTTCCATACGCTCAACATACGTTCACTCACAGCCTTTTAAACCAGCTCTAACCTGTGAAAACCTCAAAACTATCACAGTTTTTTGACTCTCAATGTTCTACAGAACCACTTAAAAATCTTTATCTGTATATCATCCAGCTCAAAAGTAATTACTAACAAATTACACTATATGGCCAAAAGTATGTGAAGACTGAACGCTTTAACCATTTGTAGTTTCAAAATCATTGTTCACTTGTTGCTGTTGTTGTTTGAATTGGACATTATTACTTTTTCATACTGCTTACTAGCCTAGAAATAATGTAATTAATTGTTTTTTTTTTGTAATTTATTCTATAATAATGTGGTCATGTTTTCATGTTTTAACAGTAACCAAGTGCGTTTACTCCACCAGGACCTAAAAGTTTCCGTAAGTTCACCCGTGAATCACTTGAGGCCATCGAGAGCCGGATCGCTGAGGAGAATGCCAGGAAGTCCAAGGACAAGCAGGAGAGAAATAAAGACGATGAATGCAGAAGAAAACCCAACAGCGGCCTGGCGGTTGGGAAAAATCTGCCCTTCATATACGGAGACGTTCCCAGAGGACTGGTGTCCACACCACTGGAGGACCTGGACCAGTTCTACAGCAGTCAGGCAGTGAGTTTGGATTTATATTTCTCAATGAACCCATGAGAGTCCACAAAGGTACTGCGAGGGGTCCAAAGCATCACCCTAAAAAATCTGAGATTTAAAGTCTTATTTAGTCTTATTACAGATGTTTTTGAAATTTGAAACATGTAAAATAAAAAAATAATAAAATGTAATGTAATAAAAAGCTGTTTCATGGTCAATAATCAAATTTTCAGCAAATAATGTTTTCAAATGTAAATTCAGAAGAATCGGTCATATTCTCTGTTGTTGTTGTTGTGCATTTGTATTTATATATTTAATTATCTAAATATAATATTAATATAAATATAAAGGCGTAATACATTTATAATAATAATAATAATAATTATATTAAATATATATATATATATATATATATATATATATATAATTTTTAATGATGGTGTAAAAAGCTATTATTTGATTTCAGAGACAAGTTATCTTTATATTATCATTCTTCTTATAATATTAAATATTTTAGTAACAAAGTTTAGATCAGATCATCATTTCAGGAGTCCTTGCTATCAGAAAATCTGAAAGTCCTTATTTAAACAACTTGCTTGATTGTATGCTTTTCTAGTAATTTTGTAGCTGCAATAGCCAAAGCATTTCATTAGAAGCAGGTGTTCATATACTTTTGGCCATGTTCTGTGTGCTGCTTTTATTTTCAGATTATCAGTGTGCTATCGATCCTGATTGACATCTTCAGGAAGACAAGCTAATGATTGCAGTGGAAAATTCAGCAGCGAAAAGGACTCCACATCCACAGAAAAAAGCTAAGTGCATGTATATTTGCATATGCAGCTACAAATATAAATGCCAAGTCAGGAAAACTTGTTTTCATTTAAGGAGATTTTTGGATTTTCCTGCTTTCCACTGCCCATTGACAGGAATACTCCTGTTTCACACATCGTCATGCAGTGCCTGTCTGGCTGCAGTTATCAGCAGGCGAACAGCATGACCCGAGTCAAAGCCATTTTACCAGAAGTCATTATGCAAGGGTGACGTGACAGCATGCACAGACTCCAGACTCCTCAGACCTCCATTATAGCCTCTAAACACCCTCATGTTTACTACCCCTGTTAGAATATATTAGTATTTGATTATAGAATATTCTGGCGGCCAGCTACTATAATTTGTAGTAGTTATACAATTCTCAAGAATGTGTTAAAATCAGCTTGTTAAGTTACATTAGATGTGCAGTAAAGCTATTTTAGTTTCAAAACGTAAATCTAAAAAGCCTATTAGGTTGATATTGCTTGATTATAATTCATTATGTTAGTTGTTGAAGTTTGTGATTTCTTTATATTACATTATAAATGTATATATATATTAAGAAAAAAAATCAATATAATTTGTTTTTCAATAAATAATTAGGTTTTAAAAACCTGTCTTCCATTGACCAGGCAAACAGATCTCACACCACTGATTGCAATGTTTTTCTGCAGAATCGACATGTGAATAACTTATTTTCTTCAAATTAAATTGGGAAACGAGTCAATATTTTAGGGCAAATGAAAATTGCACACATCACATTTATAGAGCTACAAAAACATTCACCTTGACATTGTAGAGGGGTTATTTCTCTTAAGAATGCTGCTTGAAGATGTCGTTCAGGATGACTGAATTAAATTTACAGTTAATTTTTTTTCTAGTCACATTTTTAATACCTTACAATGACCTTGGTTTAGTCATTTAAATAACCACTTCAAATTTGTTGCCTACCAAGACCACTACTGTATGTGTAAGATATAAGATGGCTTGCCTCTAAGGCTGCCTGCTTCCTTTAATGTTTTCCTGACACGGTGTGGCTGAGGTCCTGTAAGGATGAGAGACACAGAAGCAGAGGTGTGGGATAATAACTCACACATACAGTAATGTATACACACACTTTCACTGGGTTGTCCTCACTGAACACGCTCAAAAGACTGTAGGCAAGATAATCAGGGTAATGTAGCCACCATTATAAATAAAACACAATCACAATTATGGCACAAAATCACAGTGAAGGTGTGAAAAGAGACATATCATGTTGTCATCCATGTCACGGTGATGTGAAAATGAAACCGCAAACATTAACATTTTGCAAAAAAAATAAACAGGTACAAGGGGCAGTATACATATATAGTGTGTATGTGTTACATAAGTCACTGTATTGTGGTCTCTTTTTTTAGAGCATTTACTGGTTCATAGCAAATTGAATTGTCACACTCTCTTTTTTTCTCACGTCTGCTTCTGGCTGCATTGAAATTCAAGCCTCATAACGTAATTGTGACATCTCCTTTACATAGAAATGCTAATGCAATACTGATGAATTCAGTGACATTTGTTTGATTAACTTTTTAACCTATTTTATGGAAATTCAGTATTGCCCTCTAAGCTCTCACACTCAAAACTGACAACATTTTAAATTTTTGGGTGCTTGAGTATGGCGTGTAAACTCACAGGAAAGGAAAATTACAAATGAGATTTCTTTAATATCTCTAGACAGCAATAAGAATAAAATGAGAGCAAATGGAAACTTTTGCTTATGTCTTCTGCTTCTCATTTATTTCTGATTAGAGGAAGACCCTATAATCTCACATGAGAACCCTCTAGATTTCTCAGCGGTGTCTCAAGCTGATCAGATTGGTCAACAAACCAAAATTAGCAAAAAAGACCAATAATCTAACATGCAATATAACCCCAATAATTATGTGTTTCTGTATCATATTTGTTTCCATTTTTATTTCTCCCACCAAGACAAAATGTAAGATAAAGTTGATATCTATAACAGATAATTCCAATAAATCTTCTGAGCTATAAAATATATCTGAACCATGGACAATTTTCTCTGGACAATGCTGCTGAACCATTGAAATCAATATGAGATACACAAAGCCATACAGATGAATGCTTAAGTAAAGATACAGTGAGCTCAAACTGAATAATTGTCTTTGTTTTAACCATATCTTGAGGACAAAGTGCAGAGAGTTCAGAGCACAAATGTGCTGGTTTCAATCTTATCTATGATATAGCAATATGCCTGCTCCTTGTATAAATGCAGAAATCGTTTTCTTAATCTGGATTCTTTCTTTCTTTCTTTCTTTCTTACAGATCTTCTTTATGCACCAAGAGCTTGTAACACTCCAAAGAGAAAGGAAAACTTGAAATCGCATCATATGACCCCTTTAAAACCTCAATGAATTTTGTTAGATTTATGCATGCAATATATTAATGCTATATATTAATAATTTGCAAATTGGGCATGAAAAATAATGGAAAAGAAGACTGAAAATTCTTATCAAGAAAATGTTTTTTTTATTTTGTGAAAAAAAAAAATCTAAATCCTCTAAAGCCAAAACATATAGAGGAACATATAGGATTGGCTTTTTATTTTGGGTTGTCATTGGTGGTAAACATCGATTTCTGATAATATTCTGCATATTTTAAACACTAGCTTTGCAGTTTGTCATGGCTATGATATGCTGACTGGGGTTTTGCCAAGTAGGACATGCTCCTGAATTAAAAATAGATAGGTTGATCGTAATGTTACTCCATGACCAACAAGAAATATGAAAGAACATGGCCTACTTGGCAAAATCAAAGAAAGCAGTATAATAGACAAATATTAGGTTTGGTTCTATTCATTACAGCTACCAATATTTTGTATGAGATTTGTTTAAATTTTAAGAATGTTCTGAGGAACTCTGATGCAGTTGCTTGGAAAGTGAATGCTGTTTGTGTACCACTTATGTTGATCTAAGTTGTTCTTAGAATTATAGAGTTGCATAGACCAGTTATGTGACTGAGGCTCCAGGGCAAAAAGAGGACACTAGACTATTCCACATCTTAGAAACACAGGCATGAGGGGAATGATTCTCAAAAGAATCTCAGTCACACCACTGCTTAACTTTTATAAAGAATATCTCTTTGGATTTGAGACTTTAGTCTTTGCAACTTTACAGATCTTCTTTATGCACCAAGAGCTTGTAACACTCCAAAGAGAAAGGAAAACTTGAAATCGCATCATATGACCCCTTTAAAACCTCAATGAAGTTTGTTAGATTTATGCATGCAATATATTAATGCTATATATTAATAATTTGCCAATTGGGCATGAAAAATAATGGAAAAGAAGACTGAAAATTCTTATCAAGAAAATGTTTTTTTTATTTTGTGAAAAAAAAAATCTAAATCCTCTAAAGCCAAAACATATAGAGGAACATATAGGATTGGCTTTTTATTTTGGGTTGTCATTGGTGGTAAACATCGATTTCTGATAATATTCTGCATATTTTAAACACTAGCTTTGCAGTTTGTCATGGCTATGATATGCTGACTGGGGTTTTGCCAAGTAGGACATGCTCCTGAATTAAAAATAGATAGGTTGATCGTAATGTTACTCCATGACCAACAAGAAATATGAAAGAACATGGCCTACTTGGCAAAATCACAGAAAGCAGTATAATAGACAAATATTAGGTTTGGTTCTATTCATTACAGCTACCAATATTTTGTATGAGATTTGTTTAAATTTTAAGAATGTTCTGAGGAACTCTGATGCAGTTGCTTGGAAAGTGAAGCTGTTTGTGTACCACTTATTGTTGATCTAAGTTGTTCTTAGAATTATAGAGTTGCATAGACCAGTTATGTGACTGAGGCTCCAGGGCAAAAAGAGGACACTAGACTATTCCACATCTTAGAAACACAGGCATGAGGGGAATGATTCTCAAAAGAATCTCAGTCACACCACTGGGGAACACAGTGGTCTTTGAATCTTGTCTTGAAAGTGAGTGAAGCTTCACCCTTCACTTTCGCTGCACAGTCCTCTGAGCTCTACTCCTCTTTTCATGACCACAGCTTTCCAACAGTAAAGTGAACTCGAAAAGTTTGTTACCAGCCATGAAGTATTTGTGTATTATACTGTATGTTCACACAAAGTGTTGATTTTTAATACATTTTTAATTATACATAATTTCCTGTTATCTGTGGCAGTGTCCGTTTAATCCTGATATGTCTTATACCTTTTAAAATTATTTATCGCCATCACAATATTCTTGCCATTCAATGTAATTGGTGGAAGTACATGTTCTCTTATGAATGTTTTTGTTTTTTGCAGACTGGTGGCTCTCAACTGGTGGGACTTCTGGTGCAAATTGGACAGAAAACATGAAAATGTTGCCTGACATCCCTTAATCCTAAACAAAACCAAAAAAAAACATTGATAATAGAAAAGACTAAAAGAAATATTAATTAATTGTTTGTTTTTATGGATATTTCTGTTTACTTTTTTAGACAGGTTTAGTACTGTGCTGGTTCATCATGTACATTATAACATTTGTGTTCTGAAGCAAAACCAGTTGAGAACCACTCTTATAGACCACCTGAAGACAAATGGTAAAGACTCTGTAAATGCAAGGCTGTGTTAAGACGAACCAAAGCGCCAACTTCCTCCACATGATTCCGCATCGCATAGCCCATTTCTCCAGGCTTATCTGTGCTTTGAGACGGAAATTAAAGTATATATTCCTTCTCCTGAAAAGAAAGTGAGAAATCTGCAACATATAATACTTCATTAATATTCTACAGGTGAAATATCATTGTTTTGCTCAATGCATTTAATGAAAAAAAAAAAATCGAATCAACCTTTCCCACCAAGAGAGATGACAAAGACTTCTTAATGAAGAACACCCACCCACACACAGACACACACACTCACACTCACACACATTCAATCAAATCTTTTCCTGTTGGTTCATGTAAAAAAAAAAAGCAAATAGTGAAACCTGCCTTTTTTTTATTTATTTTTTTACTTTTTTAATATGCACTGTTAACTGTTGTGAACTATGCTCAAAACAGGAGATCATACTCTCTGCCAGTGGTTTAGATACATTCTGTCAAAACCAGTCTGACTTTCTTATTTTTGCCTATGAAGTAAATGTATCTTGTTTTATAGGTTGTTTAAATATTACTAATGGAAAGCAAAAATTCTGATTAAGATTATATTTCTCTATATACTGCAAAAACAAAACATTCATGTCACAGTTGTGCATTGTCTTATACAGTACAAGCACTCCATATGAGATTTGGCTTTTTATGAAGATGATTGAAGTAAATGTAAAACCCGATCAGATGTCTGAAATCTGAAGCAATCACTTTTTTATTACCATAAAGCACTGTGCGATCGGCTTTCAAAGTGAACTTAGTCCCACAATTCACTTTGCCATTACAATAAAGTCAAAGGTGTAGTGTCGTATAACACACTGTATGGAATGCATGACAGTCTAGAGGAAGTGATGTTGTGTTCATGACAGATTACATGGTTCAGTAAATTTGCATGTCCGAATGAATGTTTGAGATGAGAGTGACAGTTGCTCCCTGTTTGCAGGCAGGAAAACATACAAGCGCACACACAAAAACTGGCATTAGCACTGAACTGCAGGCAGAGAGTCTTTACCAGGTGGTAAACAGGGGTCGTCACAGTATAATGTATGGGCTTTTTATTGGATGGCAACAGGATGACACGTGGTGATGGACAGGGTGGAAAAATGAGGGAAACTTATTAGAAATAAGTAAATGTAAATGTGACACCTAATGTGGGGCGGTGCAGTCATGTAGTTAACTACATGACATGGAAGTCTAATATTTCCTTTCTGAAGTATTTTCAAAAATGGGTTAATGTGTTTGTGTTCTAGAGCTTGTGATGGAATGAATTGTAAATGAGATGTGATCTCAATGACAGTGATAGATCCATTTAACAATGACAATTTTATTAAACAGTTGGAAGGAGTTCAAAATTGTCATTATGAAACTACTGAGTCACACTGAGGAACAAATAACTGCAACTTCAAGCAATGCAGGGCCAAAAACAGTCATTCTAACATCTTCCTGGCATCAACAATGGATTCTAATGTATCATCAGGTGGTAATACAAGGTAAAACCGTGTCCTATAAGGACTTTTCTCTGACTCCATGTGAATGCAGTGGTGGCTGATAGCAGCCCGGCCAACAGGACACCCTATTTATCCATGTCACTGTCAATGCTATCAGGAACCAGTCAATATCCCTCCCGCCTGCTCTTAGAAGCCTCACAAGTTTGCCCTGTGGCACTGCTGATAAACTTCCAGCAAGAAAACAAGCTTGGTGCTTTATCACATCGTAAAGATTCGTCCATGCATCCAATTACTCCTCATCTGAGTCATGTTTTACTTTAAGCCGAGAGTTAATAAATAATATAAAGACCACAATCAGGTTGCCTATGTAAAAATTGACTGCTGCGCCTAAGCTACAATCTCTTCAGGACAACTGTACCAAAATAACTCTCCATTGAAGGGAATTACACCAAGATAAGAGAGCTGGACCTACCTTCAAGATCCTTGCTGTCGAGCAGGTCAAACATAATGAGGGCCACTGCTGACCAGGTTACAACGAGAGCCAGCACGAGGATCCAGGCCACAGGGGAGCTGAATGTGGTGTGAAGGTCATCCGTTAAGGTGCGTTTGGATGAACGTGTGGGATGTGTGCTCACGTCATTCTTGAGCTCGACTATGGTAGTCGTGGTGGAGGACCGTGCTGTTAAGACAGACGGAGGTTTGGAAATGTATAAATGCAAACAAGACAGGTGTTAAACCACAAGAAACCATTCTACATGGTTTCAAACTGGTTCAAGCTGGTTATTTATGCTAAATATCTGGTCCAGTTTCATTCAGTAGTAGTCACAGGTGGAGTTGACATCTTAGTTGTGTTAGAGCTTAGACGGTTAGAGTTTTAACCAATATCAAATCAGGTACAATGAACACTTAGAAATAGAAATTATGTCAGTTCCTCTATACGTTTTGGCTTTATTTGATCAAAATATTCATCATACAAAATGATTGTGTCACTTCAGAGGACCTGCAATATACAACTCATGGATTAATTTCATACTATATTTGTTCTTCTTGGAGTTTGACAGTTTTGGGCCTGATTGGCTTTCATAATAGTGACAAAAACAGATGAACATGTTCAAAATATCTATTTTGTGTTCCAGAAAAGAACGAAAATCATACAAGTCAGTAAATGAGGGTGAGTAAATGCTAAGAAATTTTTGTGTGAACTACTCAAATGATTCAGATGATTGGCTACTATTAACTCCCTTATAAGGCATCTTCTGATGATAGTTTACAAACAGTTTATTTTGTCTGCGTAGAGCATCTACAGACAAAACAAAGAGTATTTTGTCTGCACACTCTAAACAGCAAGTCATTTATGTTTTATAAATGAGCCGCATTGGCTGCAACTTCAATTTCTATAGTTGTTTGCACTAATTTCTGTACTTTTTAATACATGGGATGGAAACGACACCTTGTTTTCTAATATTTTTGGCAATAGTATGATTTTTTTTTTTACATGCATTTTGTATGGAAACAGCTTTTGATTCTCAGTGCTATTCAACGAATCTGTCTATTGTATGCACATTAAATTGGAAGGTGTCTAGTTCTGTCACATTGCTCACTCTTAGTGCAGACAGGACAAAAGAGTTATAAAGACAAAGACAGCTAGACAGCAGATGAATGTTTGCTTTTTAACTTTATCAGTGCATTGCCTGGCAGAGAGATTGAATTGAACTTGTTGTCTGTAGATAGGGCACACATCTGAAATAGCAATGCTTCATTCATGGATTAATTTCATACTATATTTGTTCTTCTTGGAGTTTGACAGTTTTGGGCCTGATTGGCTTTCATAATAGTGACAAAAACAGATGAACATGTTCAAAATATCTATTTTGTGTTCCAGAAAAGAACGAAAATCATACAAGTCAGTAAATGAGGGTGAGTAAATGCTAAGAAATTTTTGTGTGAACTACTCAAATGATTCAGATGATTGGCTACTATTAACTCCCTTATAAGGCATCTTCTGATGATAGTTTACAAACAGTTTATTTTGTCTGCGTAGAGCATCTACAGACAAAACAAAGAGTATTTTGTCTGCACACTCTAAACAGCAAGTCATTTATGTTTTATAAATGAGCCGCATTGGCTGCAACTTCAATTTCTATAGTTGTTTGCACTAATTTCTGTACTTTTTAATACATGGGATGGAAACGACACCTTGTTTTCTAATATTTTTGGCAATAGTATGATTTTTTTTTTTACATGCATTTTGTATGGAAACAGCTTTTGATTCTCAGTGCTATTCAACGAATCTGTCTATTGTATGCACATTAAATTGGAAGGTGTCTAGTTCTGTCACATTGCTCACTCTTAGTGCAGACAGGACAAAAGAGTTATAAAGACAAAGACAGCTAGACAGCAGATGAATGTTTGCTTTTTAACTTTATCAGTGCATTGCCTGGCAGAGAGATTGAATTGAACTTGTTGTCTGTAGATAGGGCACACATCTGAAATAGCAATGCTTCATCATTAAAAATCTCCAAGGCCACAAGAGGAATGCTGGCAGTGTGTCATCTGTTGACCGGAGCCCCTTTAAAAGCCTCTTTTCTAAATTGATATAAATTCTTGCGGCAGCTAGAGAGTCCAAACATACGGCACATGTAACCTTTATAATATGCGCATCTGCGTTTACTAGACCCCTTTATTAATCTTTGCCAATATTGTTGACTTAAGTCATTGTAAATGATTGATTCTTGCACAAACCGCTTTGATTGTGTTTACAGAAATGTATTTGTGGATGATCCATTGTGAATCTTAGGCAAGATCAGGGCAGTGGTTCTTATTTATGTTGGCCCTTTTGTTCAGAGAACCACTGTTTTCTGCTACCTCTACTCTAGGCTCACAGATGATGATGTGTTCCTGTGGGGGGGGGTTTGATACACGTCACACACCAGAAGTGTTAGCTAAGACCACCTGTTGCAGCTCTTCACATGGTCCCTGTTGTCAAATATAGGATTAGACGTCCAATCCAAATGCTGACTCAGGAATCTTTCAGTAGATGGTTTGGAGTTTTGCTGCATCTTTCTATGTGTTATCATGACTTTGCCCTTGCAGATTGTCTACAAGCTTCAGTATCTGATCGTACACAAACATAAGATCGCAGATAGTGTACACAGAAGGCTTAGGAGAAATCTTTCCATGGCAACACGGTGCACAAATGCCACTTCAACTCTTGCTGCGTTGTAAACCGAAAGCAGTGGAAGGTGGCCCAAGAAATTACATTTTCCTCATTGCTTATTTTAATATAAGACCTTGTCCTCCTCAGATCAGTGTATGGACATCCATGGCAACTAATCCCAGGTTAGTAAGTGAGAGCTGTTGATACAATGAAGTCAGTACAAAAAACACTCTGCAACGCTATTCCCTCAAGTGTCACTTTAAATATGATTTATTCAGGCTGATCTGAGAGACTTTTCACAGTTTAATCAGAATGTCAAATTTACTTTTAAGTCTTTGCAACATTAAGCCATTTCACGCAAGACTGGGGCTCATTTGTGCAGGCCCTTGACATCAATAATTGGCTTTTTTTGGAAACTCTATCTCAAGTCACTGATAATGACTTTAAAAAGGTTTAAAACTTTTTAAACATTTCTTTTTTGGTTTGGGAACTGACAGGGTTTCAGTGTCTTGGGAAAACCTTTGAGAGTACCGCGCTTCTAAATCTAGGAGTTAAATGACATCAACTATCAATGAAAATGTTCTGCAGAGACACTGAAACCTTAAGCTTTCAATGGGGACTGAAGCTTTTCAGGAGCTACAAAAGTGGTCCACATGACTTACTGTAAATTTATTCCAAGTTTTTAAAAAGCATACGATAACTTTGTGAAACTGATAAACTTGACATGTGCCATTCTTGAGAGAAATAGTGAAAGTTGATTTGTATATGAATCACTCTTTTGAATCAAATCTTTTCAGTGAGTGATGTATTCATGATTTAAGCTAGTCCAAGCTTAAACCAAAACCATTGACTCAGTGATCTCATTGCAGTGATTTCAGAAGAATGTACAACTTGCATTGACCTCTTTTATGGTGCATTTGTGTCCTTTTTGAAGCTTCAATCACTGTCCATTGTAATTGCATGGTAAAACTAGTGACTAGTCTTTGTAACTTCTCCTTTTGTCTTCCACAGAAGAAATAAAGTCATATGGGTTAGGAATGGCATGAAGGTAAGTAAATTCATGAATTGTTTGAAATGTAAGTTAATTTAAATTTTTGGGTCAACTATTCCTTTAAATATATTTCCTCTCTAGCTGATTGAACTGTATTTCAGTTGATAATGCTACCTTAAAACCCTTAAAAATCTGCAACAACATTAGAGGCCTGCTTCAAAGGACTACAGATTCCCATAGAGCCATATGATATGGTGTATTTTTAGCTGCTTTCAACCACAAAATTCCCCTGCAAAGCAGATGGTTGCTGTCTAAGATACAGTTAACTTAAAGCGCTTGGCTGTGTGCTGTTAGTACCACAATTTACATTACATACATTAACATTTATTTGACTTACACCACCTTATTGTTAAATGCACTTAGAAATGTAACTGGAAAATTTAGTTGACAGTACCTTCCATCTCTCTCATGCACTAACAGGCTGAAAGCACAGAGTCAATTCCCCAGTCTGGAATAGTTTTCCAATCAAAAGCACCACAGTGTCTTTCTGTGCCTTTCCTGTTAGAGTCCCAATAAAACTTGCGCTTGGGCCAGGGCCCCCTACAAGGAAGGAAAAAAAAGAAAAAGTCACCTGTTGCTTAAAGTGGCATAGGAAAAAAAAACGATACACTTCCAGCTGAGGACCAAGTACCTGCAGGAAGGGAAAAAACAAGGCTAGGCTGTCAAAAGAGCAAATCAAGCCCTAGGATGTCCTTATGTTTGTTACCAGCCCATGATGTGTGTGGGTCAGGAAACATGGGAGAGAGGGGAGGACGAGTTTCAAGGTAACTTTATCTGTGACTGGACTGTGTGGTTTATTCTTAGATTCCCTGGCAGCAACGGCATTATGTTTTGCCTTTTTAGGCCAGGGGTGTTACCCTTGAAGTGGAGCCGGGCTGTCATCGGGTGAGTGTGTGGAAGGCAACCACTCACATGAAAACGCATCTTTGAAATGTGCATTTTGATCCATTTTAGCACAATTTGCTGTTAATTTGCATAATGAGATATTGCATGTTATACGTTAAAAGCATAACATACTGCATAAAGATTTCTTTAATGGAGATTTTTTTAGCTAAGACTGAGAAGCAGTAGTAAATGAATGCATGTAAGAAACAGAGCCTGTGGTAAACTCAGGTTAAGCTGTTTGTGGTGGCTGGTTAAATATTCATTCAAATCAAGCGAAAACTTTTTCATAAACCGTGCAAATGGAACATTTAGAAAGTTGACCTTTAAAGAGCAAATTGCATTTTATTCTTTCAGCTGTACCTTTCCCGTATTTCAGGGAATAGGGAAAAGCCTGAGATGTCAGAACAGAAGTGTGCTTTTAAGATTGAATGAAATTGCTTGACAAGCACAGGTTTCTTTCTTATGTTGAAAGAACCTATTGAAACAGGAAGTTGGGATGTCACTTATTTTTTTAAAATAGCCAATAGGCTTTAGTTGTGCCTAGCCTTTTTTTTTGTAGACAGCCATGCTCTTGCTTTGCTATTGCTAATATTTTATTGGACAAATCTTTGGATATAACCACAAGTGCTAGAAGAGTTATCTTTTTTTTTTCTGTTTTCGCCAAAAAATGTATATCTAGCTGCTAAAATACTTTTTCTCAACTTCTAGGAGTATAGTAGCATATAGATGACATTAAAGGTAACACATAGACTGTAAGCTACAATACTTAAAATCTGAGTTCAAATTTAATAGCCCACAATAGCATAGTTTATGGACTAAAAACAAAACAAAAACAAATAATAGTCAAAGCATTACTACGTTACCACTAAAATTTGACCTTTTCTCTTCTTCATTTTATTGGAAGACCCATATTCATGAAGACAAACTTGCTGTCAGAGCTTAGTATACAACAGAAGCTTTGCATTTCTCACTCACTCATCTGCATTGCTGTTGTAGTCAGTCAACCCTTTTGCAGGTCAAGATGAAACATGCAGTTCTGATGAAATCGGGTGCAATGAGGAGGAAAAATGACTGGCATTGTGGTGCGAATCACGGTTGTTTTTTCGTATGCACGTGTGTTTGTGTGTGCATGCGGAGCCCACGCTGGGAGAAGGTTGACACAGACACATTCTGTCCTGTTTAGTGTGCCGCTATGTCACCTCAGGGTTCAATCCTAGCTCATCGTCTCTGAACAGCTATCACATAAAAGACACTGTGATGACATCTATGACCTCCTTATCTCACAATAGCAGGGTTTTATATCAGCCGGATTTACATCTAAATGCTGCCTCTCTGAATAGCTTCTCAAGACCCTGAAATGAGACAAGGGGTCTGAATAAACTATCTGTATCTCTATCTATGGTGCAAAGGCGAGGAAAAAAAGCATTGTGTTTGAGACGGCTCAATCAGCAGTGCTCTGAACGTCATGCTAAAAGTGGAAGCTGGATAATTGCATTAAGTAAAACAACCAAGTGAAGATTAGAAAAAGATGTACAGAAATAAATCTAAGTTCAGTTGTTTTTAGGGAAGCGAATTGAGAATAATTTAACAGTTTTGGTTACCTCTTAACAATTCTAGTTTCTTCACTGTTTCATTAAGATTTAAGGAATAAATATTTTGGAAAGTTTGAGCTGTATGTTTTTGATTCACTAAAAAGAACATCCTCATAGAAGAAATTTGTTTGGAAATGGGACTACACTGGTTGTGCTATGTTTTTGATCCACTAAAAACCAGCAACTCATACCAGGTCATTCATTTGAAAATCGGACTACGCTGGTTGCGCTGTATATTTTTGATCCACTGAAAATGACTGACTTGTAGGAGTCATTCATTTGGAAAATTGGGCTCTACTAGCGATGTGTGTTTTAGATCCACTAAAAAAGAACCAACTCCTACACTCTAAAAAATGCTGGGTCAAAACAGCCCAATTGCTAGGTTTGTCCCTATTTTACCCTGCACTGGGTTGTATTTAACCCAGCATTTTTTAGAGTGTAGGAGTCACTTGTTTGGAAATTGGACTTCACTGGTTACATTGCATGTTTTTGAAACACCACTAAGAATATCATAATTGGACAATATAATTTGTGTTGTAAATTTCATAACAGTGTTATAGTCCCATTGAATAGGTAGTGCAGACAACATGTAATAGTCATTGAAGGAATGCAGGTGCAAGAATCATTCAGTTCTGGTGTTTTTGTATCATTGGAACCTGTTCTGAATAAGAATTTGTTTTCAACCCTAGGGGTTGTAAAATGTCTGTGCAAAATCAGCCGTCCATGCAGAACTGAAAACTGCTGAGGTACATAATGCAGTCCCAGCCAGTCAGAAGATCTTTGATGTAAAATGTGGAGCTGGATTTTGGACCAATTAGATTTTGTGGACGTGGCTACCTAGTGCGGTGCTGCAGATATAGAAACAAAAATTCTGATTTACTTAACAGATTTGTGTTCGGTAATATTTCGGGAATGTGTCAAAGGTAACACAGTATGAGTGATATAAGGCAGATAACTAGTCAACAGCCTATGCAGCTTACTGTGTTTCTTCGAAAAGCTTTACTAAACAAATGCAAATTTGTCTCAGTCTTTGGTCTGTGAAATACAAAAAATGAAAGCAACATAAAAATAAATAAAAGGAGAAGCATAAAATAGCTAATGTGTCTATAATGATGAAAAATCCTGCAAAGTAGCCAAAGTCTTTCAATCCATGAATGATTTTAAAGAACTAATTTAGATAAAGAAGAGCCATACAAATACGGTTTATGGAAAGAGAAAGCAATAAACCAGCAGGTTGTGAAATAAAAATGTGATGCATAAACTTGTCTATAAAAACAAAATATTCACTTTTATAGCATTCCCTGTTTGACAACCAAGGATTTTACAGTTTGCAGTTGTCAGAAACAACAACACACTATCTTCAAATCATTTAATTTCATTTAGTATGTAAAACTACTGTTACTAACCTGGCATGATACAGATTTGGGCCGCTTCATTGGGAAATAATCCTTCAGAACAAGCAGAAACTTAAAGAAGTGTTCCTCTCCCTAATAGACATCAGGCTTTGTTCCTTCTCACATGGTGAGATCTGTAGCTGTTGGTGAGAGGAAGCAGACCCAGCAGTAAAGGATCGGACAAAACTGCATCTTAATGGGTAATTTAAAAGAACTGCTGATGAAGTCATTAATACTTAAAGACAGTCTGTCTGGAGTGCAATAGCAAGCAGCGCTAAATGACCGTAATGGGAGGAGAGGTCAGGCCCTGATTCAAATGCTTTTGGAGAACAGGAATTTGAGGGGGAAAAATAGCAAAAATAGGCCTAATGGGCTTTGTCATTGTATTTCACAGGGAGGGGTGTTATGGATGTTATGAGTGCATCAAACCCCTGTTATGCCATGCCAAACCTAATCATAATTTAGTCCTGTCAGCTCTAACCGGCCATCTGGATGCTCGCCATACTAGACAGAGCCGTAAACAAGGAAGAAAATAGGTAACACAGAGCAAACTGAGCCTCTGGTTTAATGGGAGTATTGATGGGATCGTACTGTATGAATAAGGATCGCTTTATTTGTGTGGGGTGGGGTTTGAAGCCTCCTTATAGAGCCGTTCATAGTCCTAAAAGCTGGAGGAGAATGGATTTTTAGCATAGCAGTTTTCAGTTTAGTATGTAAAATAGGTATGTGGTTAACGTTACTTGAAGAGACTTTAACATTATATTTTTAAATTACACCCAGTCACACCTGTTGTGTTTTCCAAAAAACAGATGCTACATACACAATGCTCAGTACATTCAAAAAAAATAAATAAATTTATAGTTTCATTCATAGTGTTACAGAGGAAGCCTGACAAAAAGTATGTTTCTACAAAAATATTAAGCAACACAACTATTTTCAACATAATATAAGAAATTAATAATAAGAAGTGTTTCTTGAGCACCAAATCAGCATATTAGAATGATTTCTGAAGGATCACGTGAAGACAGCTTTGCTATCACAGGTTCAGTTTTGCTATCACAGGAATAAATTACATTTTAAAATATATATAAACATTTTTTTTTTAAATTGTAATAAGTTTTCACAATATTGCTGTTTTTACTGTGTTTTTGTAAATTTTTTGTATTTCAGAGATTGGCAGACGTGGAGACGATGAACTCTTGTTGTGTGGGAAGAGCTGTGTTAACGTACTTTAAAATAACATTTGGGTGATATATAATGACATTCTTCAACACAGTGGGCTTCTGGATAAGCCTGACTGTCTCCTTGGAATTTTTTTTTTGTTGACCTTTTAAAAAACATTACATTGAATTTGTTTTCTTGAATACTAACAGTAGTTGAAAAGTAAACAAAATTTAGGCCTTTATGAAGTTTTAATTCATGTGCGTATTATATTTAACTGGGCTACTTATGAAAAATGAAAATGGTGTTTTAGATTTTTTTCATGAATGAGATAATATACAGATATACACTGAACAAAATTATAAACACAACACTTTTGTTTTTGGCCCCATTTTTCATGTGCTGAACTCAAAGATCTAAGACATTTTCTATGTACAAAAAAGGCCTATTTCTCTCAAATATTGTTCACAAATCTGTCTAAATCTGTGTTAGTGAGCACTTCTCCTTTACTGAGATAATCCATCCACCTCACAGGTGTGGCATATCAGGATGCTGATTAGACAGCATGACTATAGCACAGGTGTGCCTCAGGCTGGCCACAATAAAAGGCCACTCTAAAATTTGCAGTTTTACTGTATTGGGGGGACCGAAAATCAGTCAGTATCTGGTGTGACCACCATTTGCCTCACGCAGTGCAACACATCTCCTTCGCATAGATTAACCTGATCAACTTGATTGTGGCGTGTGTGAATGTTGGTCCACTCCTCTTCAATGGCTGTTTGAAGTTGCTGGATATTGGCAGGAACTGGAACACGCTGTCGTATACGCCGATCCAGAGCATCCCAAACATGCT